TCGGATTATCGCCCATAAATGTTAGCTTCTTTGGTTACAGGACAAATCTAATGCGCTGTTTTAAGAGTTGAAAGCATTCAATATTCCAGCAAACAAACCCAATTTTTACAACATTCTTCGTTTTTGGAAAATTGGAGTGAAGTATTTTAACTGTTGTATATTGGCGAAAAAATTCTCCAGCAACCAGCAAAATGGTGATCGAAGTGGAAAATAGGAATTTAAGCCTGTTCTCCACTAGACGAATTTTTCTCGCGAAGCGAATTTCGCTTTTGTTTTGGAGCGTTCGCCGACAACTTGTGGAACTACAGTTACTAGCCAAAAATCAAGGAGAATCTGCTCTATTTCTACTTGCAATTGAAATTTTGCTTTCAAATTGTTTTAGATCTTTCAGCTGTAACCATCCGAAACACATTGCCCAAAGACAAAAGAATAAAATTCGCTCCGCGCGAAGAAATCACTAGTTCAAAACCGACTTTAGTAGCAACCTCGTTCCTAGGCTCTTTCCCGTAGACTGAGTCGGACTCCTCATTGATAGTCGGATGCATCATTGATCCGCGTCCAGGCCTCCGCGCATTATCAATCAATCCCTTCGTACCCCGTATCCACTGGTGCCCCATATATCCACCACTCCACGTTGATTTTCTTTGTCCACGTGTATAAAGATGAACGATTTGCTTTGCGATGCCATAGCAAATTACAAATCTGTTTTTCAGGTTTCGAAAATACTCAAGAACAGTTATTATATTGCGAATTAAAACTATATATCATCCCAATTGAAGAGAATCAGGATAAGATAACTAGCGTGCAAGGAAATACTGGAAGATTCAAAGCGACCATCAAGACCAATTTGCACAAATAGAAGTATTGCAGAATACCCATCCACTAGTAATATCATATCATGTAGCACGGCCACTATTTCACTGGATACGTATATAGTGAGATGACTGAGATCTCATTGCCTCGTTCTAAATAATATACACAAACTAATTACTAAGTCAATATTTTGAATTGATACTATAAAGGAAATATCACACAAGACGTTTAATGTTTAATATTATGCTTAGTATGCCTTATAATATAATTTTTTCTCCCAGCGACGCTAATTAATCATACCCTATCAAACACCAATGTCCGGTTGTGAGGAACATATTTACATATTACACAACATTTATGCTGTCTACAGCATGAGGATTTAATCTATTAATGCTAACTAACTGTCGCCTTTAGAGACCAGTCGTAAAGTATAGGGGGGGGGGGGGCTGGAGAAATAAAATCTTCAACTGTATATTTTTCCTTGGCCCACCCCTGGAATAAGGCTAATTATCAATGGCCCACCATTAAAGTCATGCACAAAAATTAATGACCCACCCTTTCCTAAAAGACAACAACAGGCGAGAAACTCATGGATCACTTTCTATTGGTAATATTTTTTACATGTTTCAAATTCAGTTTCATACATGATTTATTGCTTGGAAAACACCAAAACGTTACATACGACTCTTTTATAATAAAGTAGAATCCAACCCTACAGTGTGTAATCGTTAATTTAACCCTTACAGAACACTTATTATTGCCAAACGTCCCTATCCCTATCATTTAAGCTCCCTTCACCATTTAGGATGCAATCACCTACAGTCATATGATCAGAGTTGTAGACTCGAGTCGGACTCGAGTCGCAATTTTTGTGACTTGTGACTTGACTTGTTAAAGAGACTGATGACTTGTGACTTGACTTGGACAAAATGACTTGTGACTTGACTTGGACTTGCAAGAAATGACTCGTTACCAATGCAAGTCAAACGTAAATATCTAGTGAAAATCAAGTTTTCCAAAATCTTTGTGTTGATCGATCGATCATCGTGTTGTACAATTTGGGCAACGACCTTAGTACATATCAATGGCATCGACAGAATTTGTGCCGGCGTAGTTTCTGACAAAGCGTTTTTTTTCGCGATTTCATGGTAAAATTTCTGACATAAAATAACGACGCCATACTTACATATTTTGCCGTTTTGCGTGGGAAAACATAGCCACATGTGGCGATAAAATGACTTGTGACTTGAATTGACTTGCCACTCGGAATGACTCAGTGGCGTGCTGGCAGGGGGGCGGGGAGCCACGGCCCCCCCAGCTGGCAATTTTTGAGGGGCACAAAAATGAAAAGGGGGTGTCGATCCCGTGCCGAATTTTGAAATTCCGCCAAGGAAAGATGTGTTTATAGACTCATAAACAGACTAAGCGCATAGGCGACAAAGTGAGTGAGTATATTAAATTGCAGACTATTTTGTCTAACCGTATTTGCTACCTCACGACTCACACAAAATCACTCGTTCATATAGAAACCTGATCCAGTGATCACACACAATGTCTCATTACCGGAATATTGATCATGCTTCGAAGCGATCACGGGAATCATGCATATGCGTGGGGTCCGTGTGTTATTGTATAAAAGAGCTGTAAGTTGTAAATGAATTCAGATCAGTAGAGAGTAGAATTGGGATTAGATTAATTGCTGGAAGTAGTTAGCATTGCCCAATTTAAGTGCTACTACTAAATTCTAACCAATTTTCAAATTTCGACACGTTGTAATGCCGTTTCCTGACCATCAGATTTCTGTCAAATCTTCCCCCAAAGTCCAGGAAATGGCATTTCAGAGACTCTAAATTCAAAAATTTTCCTGGGGGAGCATGCCCCCGGACCCCCCTAGACAACCCTTGCACCTGCGGCACTCGGCTCGTGCCTTCGGCCCTCTTTATCAAGGGTAATATTATAGGGGCGCATATTAGTTGCCCGCCAACTGCCCCCCCCCAGAAAAATAGTACCCAGCACGCCACTGGAATGACTTGTGACTTGACTTGACAAACAGCCAAGCAAATTGCAAAACCCTTGCCTTCAACCGGTTTCCAGCCTCATTTCTATGTTTCTTGTGATAAAAGCACTCCTCATCGAATTTCCAACCACGCCATTATGATATTCCCAGTCGTTAGTGGAAAGCGTGTCGCAATTCCAGTCAATTCGCCTGAGGTTTATCCAATAGAATCGTTGAATAAAGACGGTGTTTCTGGGGGTTGTGCAGACCAGCTCGCAAAACAAGTTGTCAAAACCATTAAAGAAGCCTATGGTGAAGAAGAAAGCTTCGATCTGAAAGCAACCTGGCAAGGTACCTGTTGTGATGGACAATATCAAGCAGATGGATTTAAAACTACCATTTATCAAGAGCTTGGTGTCCTGATTGATCCTGTGTTTTCAGTGGTAGTTTGGGACCAATCCCATTGGATAAATCTTGCCATACTCGATATCAAAGATGGAAAGATTGGCTCATCGTCTGGCTTCTTGACATCTCTTGTGAAGAGGTCAAAGAATATCCATTCAACGTTCCAAAGGGGAAAGATGCTGAGTAGTGTTATAGCGCTCGCAAATTCCGAGAAGCTCAAGCTAAAGATGACAAGAGGCAATTGTGCAACAAGATTTTGGTCATCACAATACATGGAATTCAACACCGTCATTAAGAGCTACAAAGCTTATACAACTGCCTTCAGAAGCTATGGCTACAGTGAAATGAAAGAATATGACATTCTCGGCACAAACTTTGTGTTAGACCTATGTTGCATATGTGATTCAATGAAAAGTGTTGTTGACTTGATGATTGCTGTCCAAGGACTGGGCTGCCCTTGTTGGAAAATATGCATATGGTGGCCCCATGTAAAAGCATTTTTAGAAAGTCTACTTGAGGAAGGTATAATTGACCCTTCTGAGTCGATGCCCATCTTGAAGAACCACGTTGATGAAATAATGAAGGGAAGTTTCAAGGGCCAGAAGCTGGTGCAAGGATGGAAACTGGTGTCTCAAGATGAAACCAATTGCTATTGGGAAGCAAGAGACATTGGGGATTGTCAAAGCAATTTCGAAGTATTTGTCAAAGATACAGTAGAGTCAATGAGCAGAAGATACGACATATGCGTGCCAATCATGTGCGAAATGTTGACGTGTCTTGATTTAGAGTCCATCATCACTTTGCTATGTGGTAAAAGGCGAGATGGCAAGCCATGCATAAATGAGGGAGATCTTGAAGAATATGGGACGGAAGGCTTCAAGGCATTTATAAGTCATATATGCAGCATTACGCATGTTAAATTGGCCATTGAGGATGGTGCCATTGATCTTGACCCTCGGCTAAGTCACATTGTGCACCAAAAATTGAAGCAAGCACTCAAAGATATTTTGTGGCAGGGTAGAGAAACCATGATCAATTGGTTTGATTACGTCCCGTCTGAGATCAGTGGGAAAATTAAACCTCTTTCTTCTGTTAGAAGAAGAAAGGAGAAAGTATTGGAAGACCACTCGTCCCAGTTGTTTGTCACCACTAGATTTCATATGCGATTCACGAAAGGTGAGAAGATATACACAGTCCAGTTGAACAAGCCCGCGGTTTATTTGTCGTTGTATACAGATGAATGTGTGTATTCCAAACTTGGCAAAGAAATATGTTTGGTCATCGATATTGCACTTGCAAAAGGTGGACCTGAAGCAATCGTCGAGTCATTCTACTCCTTGATGAAGTGCCACAAGAAAGCTGGTGGTCAAAATAATGAAAACCTTTCCTTACGAACAAAGTTAGACTCGAGCTTGCCCGGACCGTTGCAAGCTGATCGCATGGTTAAGGAAGTTGCCCCACTTTATCTTGACGGAAACAAGAAGAAAGGCCTAAAACCTCATTGGTTACCTGTTATCAGGGACAAATGTAACTATAAGACAAGCAAAGTTATTGACAGAATTGAAAATGCTGATACTAAGTTGCCATATGTTTTGTAGAATTTGACAACTGTCAGGTTAAAAATACAATAATTGTAACGTTTTATATTAGCCAGAATATTTACATTCTCTTGTGTAATACTTGTTTGAAACTATACTGTAGTTTATTCGAAAATTAAACTATATATGTTTTGATTGACACAGTTCTGTTGCTTTTGACGTTTTTCGATTTACCAGGTTGTGTGTTTGATCAATTTCAGCGTTTCTGTCTGGGAGCTAGCGATAATTACGTCATTTGGCCCAGCACTGCTGCCACTGCGTTCTCTCAGATTAGCGATAATTACGTCATTTGGTCTGGGAGCCTTGCTCTCATGAATCGTGAGCCAATCACCTTGCGTAATTTACTAATGAGAGCAAGGCTCCAGGACCAACAAGTATGTTTGACGTAATTGATGCATCAAAATGATGTCATTGGGCTCCAATTTCTATAGAGATTTCTGCACCTTTGGCGCATGTAACTTGACTTTAGATAGTCTTTGGCGGATCGAATTTTGAAGCTGAATTTCTGGTGTGAATCTTTGGCGGCGAGAAAAGGTGGAATGCAGTCGGGGCTGTGGTTGTAATAAGCAAGAATTGGGTGAGGATTTTCAGATATCCGGAATTATCAACATGGGTTTTCATTGCGACATAAGCGCTATACTTAAGCATATGCTCGAACATACGGTAATTGTTCTTAAAGGGACTCTACAGTCATTTTTTAGTCGAAAAGCCACCTTAAGTAGGGGACTCCACAGAGATTCGTTTGGCTATATCTTACATGCAGTATCCATGAGTACTTCTGCACACCGGAAAACGCATGCATACTGTGGTGTGCATGTCAAGTAGCGACAATAACAAAAAAATGTAAACAATACTTACTTGACAAAAAAATTACTGTAGAGTCCCTTTAATCCCTGGGCAAACTAGGAAACATTGTTGCGCAAACATTGTTTCCTGCCCGCAATGTTTCGCCATGTTTCCCAGAGTGGGCAAACACTAGGTAACATTAGTGAGAAACATAGGGAAACTTCAAATGTTTCTGAATTTGCTAGGAAACATTTTTGCATCTCGGGAAGCAAATTTTGTTTCCGCAACAATGTTTCCATGGATGGGCAAACATGGAGAATCACAAATGTTTAATTCCACAACAATGTTTCCTAGTTTGCCCAGGGCTTTATGTTGGCGAAGTATATTGCTCTCACCACGACATTATCAAGAGCGATTTGCAGGGACGGAATATTTTGATATTCTTGTGCTTATGCTTATGCTAATATTAAACTAGCTCGTGCTTATGTTGCGGTCAGAACAGTAATTTAAGAAATTAAAGGACGCATGCAGAGTTTTTGTATTAGGCTATTATGTTATACAGTTAGTCCTTACTGTTTTAATTTATTCATTTCTGACCGGCCTCATATTCGTCTCAGGTATTTATTGATGTTTCATGCACGTAGGATATTAAAAACTTAATTACTTGTTATTGAGCTAAGGATAAGCGAGAAACAAATATATTGTGCAGGAAACACAGGGAATACAACTTTCATCTTTCAGGTCTAGGTTAAGAGTAAATAAACGAGGCCTAGGTTAAGAGTGAATAAACGGTATAGCCGAATCAAAACGTTTCGTTCCTTATACGTGTGCTTATGTTTGTGCTTACGCTTAAAACATTCCAGCTAAGAAATCAAATGTTTGATGGCCTTATGCGTGTGTTAATATACAGCTATTTCCAATTAAGGTTGTCCCCCAAGCAAAGCGGAAAAGTCGAACACGAGCGCGAAAGGCTGCTGGGAATCACTAATAAATTAATGAATTTATTAGCGATTCCCAGCAGCCTTTTGCGCTCATATTCGACTTTTCCGCTTTGCTCGGGAGACAACCTTAATTGGAAATAGCTGTATGTAAACTTTCATAGTTTCATTAAAATATGTTCTGTATGTATTGCGTTCATATATATACTATTAATTTAATTAAATATATAATTATAAACTGAAATTCACTTGAATTTACATCTCTCCGCTGACATTACAGCATAATATTTCAAACCAATAAAATAACTAAAGTTTCTGAAACGTTCTCTGATCGTAAATTTTTATTTAAAACACGAGCTTTCGACTGTCAGTCTGCAGTCTTCGACAGGTAATATCACTATACCTGTCGAAGACTGCAGACTGGCAGTCGAAAGCTTGTGCTTTAAATGAAAATTTACGATCAGACAACGTTTCAGAAACTTTATTATGAATCCGGGTCGCGCATCTAGCATTTTTAATAAAATAACTGCTATTCTGTAGATTGTATAAACACATGTAATGTGCAAATACGAAACGGTATGTGAATATTTGTGCAAATGAAGGAATTTGCATGAAATCTGCCGTAAATTCGAAACGAGTGCCATTTTGAAAATCGGTACTAAAATTGCACCATGTGTGATATATTTAGCAATTTCTATTTTTGCAACAAAATCACTATGAATTGGCATTATAGCGCAAATATATAAATTCACATTAAATATACATCAAATTTGCACCCAGTGGCTTGGCGGCAATCACTCTACCGCACCGGGTGCAAACATGAAGCAGATCTACAAATTTGAACCGGTGCAAATGTGGTCAAAGGTGAGCGAATTTGGAATTTGCATCAAATTTGCACATACATTTGCACATAGGCATATTTGTATTTTCGTCCCGTGTATGGTAAAAAGATTGATAACACTCTTTAATGAGGTAAAGGAAATCACAGCTGCTTTTCTGTTACTTGAAATATAACAGTTTGGTTCAATGAATTCAGGTAAAGTGCTTGACTTCAAAGCTGCCTGAAGAGCTCCAAAAACAGCATAAGGAATATCTCTACAGCACTCTACGTTGAAAGCATTGTGAATTTTCGGACAACCTCCTAGTCTTCTATTAATCATATCCAACCATAATCAACTCTCGCCAAAAAGAACCGAAGCACAACTTAACATTCATGTTTCAAGAGCTTTTCTCATCAAACCATAGGCAGCTGATTGTGTGTTTTCTGTCTCACTCTCGATCCTTTCTTCTTCTGGTCCTGATTAAGTATTTGTCTGCATAATTTTGATACACATCCTCTGCATTATCAGCCACTTGTTCGACAACCTCAGTGAAACTTAATGCCTTGGCCGCCATATTGTTTTATCTCAATAAGCGCTGTTGTTGATGACAACCGCTGGCCAAATATTCAAATCTCATGGCACGTGCTCACACGTCTTTGAGATGTTTCTGTAACAATCCTGTGAATGAAAATTGGTTCTGCCAAATTTACAATACCGTAATGATTGAACTTGCATTAATGTATATTATAGTAAAAATGTGTATGGAATATGAAATTGACTTGCCTATTTGATAGTGTATGTTCCACTTTTATTCCTCATTTGTTGGACTTTGCACTCAATGGTACTAGCAGGGTGTTGGCCGTCCGACCGTCCTATGGATGGCCACTTCTGAATTTGGACTGCTAAATTTTAATGGACGGCCATGAACGGCCTAATGGAATATTCTCTTTAAATAGCAATTTACAAGTTTGTAATATTTCTTGAATACTTCGAATTGTTGTCATCTGCTGTTTACTTTACTTATGGTA